ATGACTTCATCCATAAGGTTCTTCATCTAAAAATCTTTATACACCTTCACAGAAATCTAGATTTAGCAGCTAAAGGTGGTGAATTCCTAACTGCAAATATTATTTGGCATTTCAGTGTATGTAATGGCTTCCTTCCTAGGCTTTTAAATACTTCCGGGGGTCTTGAATCGCAGTTGTATTTTCTGCCCTTCTTTCCTTCCTTTCCTTTTCCTTTCCTTTCCTTTCCTCTTCCTTCCTTTCCTTTCCTTCTTTCCTTTCCTTTCCTTTCCTTTCCTTTCCTTTCCTTTCCTTTCCTTTCCTTTCCTTTCCTTTCCTTTCCTTTCCTTTCCTTTCCTTCCTTTCCTTTTTTTCCTTTCCTTTCCTTTCCTTTCCTTTCCTTTCCTTTCCTTTCCTTCCTTTCCTTTCCTTTCCTTTCCTTTCCTTTCCTTTCCTCTTTCCTTTCCTTTCCTTTCCTTTCCTTTTTCCTTTCCTTTCCTTTCCTTTCCTTTCCTTTCCTTCCTTTTCCTTTCCTTTCCTTTTTTCCTTTCCTTTCCTTTCCTTTCCTTTCCTTTCCTTTCCTTTCCTTTCCTTTCCTTCCTTTCCTTTCCTTTCCTTTCCTTTCCTTCTTTCCTTTCCTTTCCTTTCCTTTCCTTTCCTTTCCTTTCCTTTCCTTTCCTTTCTTTCCTTTCCTTTCTTTCCTTTCCTTTCCTTTCTTTCCTTTCCTTTCCTTCTTCCTTTCCTTTCCTTTCCTTTCCTTTCCTTTCCTTCTTTCCTTTCCTTTCCTTTCCTTTCCTTTCTTTCCTTTCCTTTCCTTCCTTTCCTTTCCTTTCCTTTCCTTTCCTTTCCTTTCCTTTCCTTTCCTTTCCTTTCTTTCCTTTCCTTTCCTTTCTTCCTTTCCTTTCCTTTCCTTTCCTTTCCTTTCCTTCCTTTCCTTTCCTTTCCTTTCCTTTCCTTTCCTTTCCTTTCCTTTCCTTTTCCTTTCCTTCCTTTCCTTTCCTTTCCTTTCCTTTCCTTTCCTTTCCTTTCCTTTTCCTTTCCTTCCTTTCCTTTCCTTTTTCCTTTCCTTTCCTTTCCTTTTCCTTTCCTTTCCTTTTTTCCTTTCCTTTCCTTTCCTTTCCTTTTCCTTTCCTTTCCTTTCCTTTCTTTCCTTTCCTTTCCTTTCCTTCCTTTCCTTTCCTTTCCTTTCCTTTCCTTCCTTTCCTTTTCCTTTCCTTTCCTTTCCTTTCCTTTCCTTCCTTTCCTTTCCTTTCCTTTCCTTCCTTTCCTTTCCTTTCCTTCCTTTCCTTTCCTTTCCTTCCTTTTCTTTCCTTTTCCTTTTCCTTTCCTCTTTTCTTTTCTTTCTTTTTTTTTTTTTTGTTTTTTAATAAAAAATTGTGTATTGAAATAGTGGGTGACTTTTAGAGTTAGATTTGAGAATAATAAAATATTGACTAGGGTGCTTACCTTATATTTGAATTTCATGGCCTATTTACCAACACAAAATGGAGCAAATTTTATAGGAGAATCGTGAACTCACTTGAAGCTGTATAATCTTGTTGCCCTAGGAGACATATTATTCTAAAAGTATTGGTTTATCAGGGAAAATAAAAAATAACCCACCTTCTCATACTCAATCTCCAGAATCTTAGGTATGGGAAACGCAATCTATAATAAAATGGACTTTAATTTGGGAAAAGAACTTTAGACTGTGAGCACTGGAAGCTGAAGTCAAACATACATGGTCATGGATGCTTGGGAAAAAAAAATACTTGATGGCGGTAGTATAAAATCTGTTTATTGAGAATTTCCATTACTTCCACTTTTAATACTGAATGTTGATATTCTCTGAAAAGTCTCTGAAAAATCTATTTATTTAACCTGTCTGAGCTTCACACCAGAACTTGTATGTATTAGTCATTCCATAGTTTAAATCTTTCTGCCTTCTTTTATTCTGAATGTATCATTTTGATGCTGGAAATTGATTTCAGTTTCCAGGCTATACTGTCAGGCATGTGCAAAGTAATTGAACTGGTGAAAATGAACAAACAAAAAAGTAAGCATATAGAATGCAAATAGTTACAAAACTGTAATAAAAATGTCATATGGTCTTAATTTATTTACTTTGCAGCATTCTCAGATTTTTTATTCAATTCTCCTCCCATAATATGCTGATTTCTTGTTATGTAACTTTTAGCATTATAAGTACTGTGCTATTACATTTATTATATTGCCTTATTGTTGATGTTAATCAGACTATTATTCTTCTAGCTGCAAAAGCTTAAAATTATGTCTTTCATTAAATGACTGATAATCTAACACTCAGTGAAGCCTGAATAACATCTGTCAAACTATTTAATTTTTTTTGACAAGCACAATCAATGCAAACAAACATGGGTTTCACTTCATTATTCATCAACAAAGACAATCTGACACTATCTAAAGTATTAATTCTTGGATTAAAGCATCCTGGCACATGTTATGTTTTAATATTCAACAAGAGTTTAATTTTAATACCTCCTTCCCCAGCTGGGGTTGAACTTTATAAAGGATTTCCCTAACATTTAGTTGAGTCTCTCATGGCCTCACTGCCTGTCTGTGTGATGAACACTCCCTACAAAATACATGAGATCAAGGCCTTGCCTTTTTCTGAGAAGGAGAAATGTTTGATCAAAGCATACAACTTGAAAATGCAAATGTGTCTCTCCTGTGATGCTGAGGGAGCAGAGGGAAGACCCCTGGGTGGTCTGCGGGAGGGCTCATCGCATGGGGCAGCAGCTCCAACATGAGCCTCTTGCCTGGTGTACGAGTGCACATAAATACAGGACACTTTTTCCCTCTCTTCCCTGGAATCAACAACATGGATTCAGAAGGTCAGGATGACACAAAAGAATGGGGTAGATGAGATGCCTTGATTTTGGTAAGAATATATTTTAAAGGCATTTTACCTGTGCCATTTCTGAAAAATCCCAAGTTGTTTAACAAGCAGTGCAATACCTTTGTGAGTCTGATATCAGATGATCCCACAGCACCATAGAGAGTTTATTTTTATAATGTTTTCCCTTCACATATTATTTTCTGTTTCTCATTCTCGTGTTATCTTCCTTACTGAGCAAATACTATCACTGAGTGTAAGACTCCATGACAATGCCTCTTCCCTGTTTCTTTTTGTGATTAAAACTTCTCATTCACAGCCTATATTTTGTGAGTAGTAATGACTGAAAAATTACTTGTTATTTTTATGCATTTATTTAGGATAATTTTATTGGAGTTGTACTAGTAATTATTATCTCCTACTTACACATACCTCAGCTTACTGTACTGCTCAGTTTATTGTTCTGTAATTTACACTTCTCTAGTTTGGAACATTCATTCATAACAGGAGTTATTGTGGTCTCTGAGGTTGGGCTGGCAATGTGTTAGAGCTGTTACAATTATTCTCTGTTTTATCTGGAAACCACAGTGTCTCCAAATCTGGGACAGAAAGCTGACTTTTGTCACAAAGGTATTACTACTGAGGTAAGGAAGAGTATATACAGATGCATGAAGGATCCACTGAATCAATCAGCTGGTTTGTTGTCAGGTGCTTTCTGTGCCTGACATTTTCTTAGGTTTAGTAGGCATAATGACAAAGAATTTGGAAGGAAAGCTAAGTTTTTAAGCTGTAGCTCTTATGAAGCACAGGAGTCAGTTGCTGTTAGTTCATTAGTTTAGGCAGATTGATGGAAACTGTTACAGACCACCAGAGTTAGACACCAAACAGGGACAAACAAGGACTCCTAGATATTTTGAATATTTTTTTCTGCATATTCTTTCTAATTTTTAGACTTAATTAACTGCATCTTGAAAAAAAAAAGTAGAGATATCCATTTTGAAATGGGCTCACTAAATTGTAAAAGATGAGATTAAAAAGTTAATCAACTTTTTATCATATGATGAATAAGAAAAGATCAGAAAAAGAAGATAAACACACACTTTTTTTTTCTTTTAAAGGTAGTTGTAGATTTGTCTGGACTACAAAGTCTGGTATTTCAGTTTTAACAGTTAGCAAATGGATATTTTCACATTCCTTACATTAAACATTCCTGTTTTACAGCTGGATGCAGTGCTCTGCAGAGTGACAATTTTTGATTTAACTCTTTGGCAGAAATTCTGATGATAAGAGAGAGTGCATGGTGACATAGTAACTCTTTTTTTGTTAAAAGTGGTAATGCCTTCCTGAAGGGACTACTTTTCTGATGTGATATATAGCAACAGTAATAGGTAATTGTAGATTTAATAGCGAAAAATAATGACTTGCATTGGCAAGCTTAGTCCAGCTAGGCAGAGAGCTCTAAGGAAGCCACATCTCCCTTACTTTATAGCTGTTCTGTCAATTTTGGTGTGATATATTCTGTCATTTTTGTACAGATGAAACTTCTAGTCTTTAATAGTGTAAATAATTTATATTTTGGTGGGATTATGATAGACTCTGTCATTTTACATTAGCAGAAATATGAAAGATTTGCAAACTAAATCTTCATGCCCAGCAAACTCCCAAACAAAAAAAGATATAGATGTTAAATTTCTCTAATGGCACCAGATAGACTGTATTTATTAATGTTTTTAAATTTATATTCTTTCAGACTAAAATTATGTAAGAATGAAACCGAGCAGATTAATCAATATGAAAGAAAGTTTAGCCTACAAATAGAATGAATAATACTAGAGAACCTTTAGCATATTCAAGGAAAGGGGAAGGGAGCTTGCTGTTAAAGCAAGCACTGTTCTGTGCTTACATTTCATGTAACCAAGTTTGAGGTGATATTACTTCCTTTACATGTCAGAAATATACTACTTAGAAGAAGCCAAGGAATCAGAACTCATCTTTTTATTTGTTTTTATTGGGATTGCTTTCATGGAATCACCTGGAACTCAAATCTAGTTTTTAATTTGTAATGCTGGAAACAAGAGGGAATGAAACCCCCAACCCCTGTGGCCATTTGCCAGGGAAAAAGTCAAAGAGTGAAGCCAGCAAATCTCTTACATCTTGTCCCATCTTACAGAGGGAAGAAAGCATCAAGGGAGAAGAAACTAAGAGGAATAAAAAATGAGATGGCAAAACAAATAGGAAAGGGAGAGCCTGAAACTTCCCAAAGCTGATGAAGAAAGAGAGAATGACCATCAAAATAGGAAAGGACCAGAAGCCAAGAAAGGAAGGAAGAAAAGAAAAAGTAAAGAAATGGAGAAGGTCAAAAGAAACAGCATAAACAGCAAACATCTACAAATATTCTGGGCAACAGTGTGGAGAAACTGTTATGTAAGATTGTGATATATTTGCCTTAATAATGGGGTTGGATTTGATAAGCTCAGACAGCATGACCATTTTTGTGCTCTCAGGGTGCTCAGCAAAAAAGGCAAAAGTTTTCAGTGAATATATCTTTTTTAAGATGTTAGAAAAAGAACATGTCAGTGATAGATATCTAGCCTTGTAGTAACCTGTAAGTCACTGCTACTAACCTAAAAGTTTTTGAACAGTGTGCACTTTGAATCTACATCAACCAAATTTTTATTTCACCAAGACTAATTTGAATGAAATTTCAAATGAGCTACTTGGCCCATTTTCACTGAATTTTGAAATAGTTGGAACATGTATCTTTCTAGAATGAGCATTAATAGCAAAAAAGCAAGGAGGATTATGCAGATGAAAATAGACTACTTCATATATTGTTCCTGAACTTAGGCACCAAAACATAAAGGTGGGATTCCATCCAGAGATAAATTTGAAGAATTTACGTGTCTTTAATATAAGTAAACAAAACTTAAGGGTAACTGCTCTTGGTAAACACATCAGTAGCAGTGTGGCCAGCATGTCAAAGGAGGTTACTCTCCTTCTCCACTTTTCTCTGGTGAGACCCCACTGCAGTGCTGTGTTCAGTTCTGGTGTCCCCAACATAAGGAGGACGTGGAACTGTAGGAGCAAGTACAGAGGAGGGTCATGAAGTCAATAAAGGGACAGGAGCACGGCCCCTACAAAGCCAGGCTGAGACAGTTGGGGCTGTCCAGCCTGGGGAAGGGAAGGGTGTGTGGAGACCTCATAGACCTTGCAGGATCTGAAGGGGCCAGCAGGGAAGCTGGAGAGGGACTCTTCATCAGGAACTGCAGTGACTTGACAAGGAGTAATAGGTACAAACTGAAAGGGAAGAAATTTAGATTAGATATTGGGAAGCAATTCTTTACTATGAAGGTTGCAAGCCGCTGGAACAAGCTGCCCAGAGAAGCTGTGGGTGCCCCATCCCTGGCAGTGTTCAAGACCAGGTTGGATAAGGCCTTGAACAACCTGGTCTAGTAGAAGACATCCCTAACTATGGCAGTAGGGGCTGGAACTAGATGACCTTTACTGTTCCTTCCAACCCTTACCATTCTGTAATTCTGAAATCTCTGAATCTTTTCTGCACAGGTATGACACATTTAGGCTTCTCCTCAAGGACAGTAGTATTGCCCTCTGTCTCCAAAGCAAAGGGACGTAGCTGAAGAAATAAACACAGTGCACATGCAGTGCCTGGCCTGAGCCTGGAGAATGTTGATGGCATATGGTTTTACCAGCTCCTGGGGGCTGTAGTAAAGACAAGGCATAGAAAAAGGCCTGCACCATGCTGCCAGGCTGGTTCTGGGGCAGAGTGGTGATGACAAAACACTTATACAGGTACATGCATAGACATGCAGTGCCTTAGATGCTAATAAACGCAGCAACTTATTTTGCAACACCAGTTAGGTAATCAAAATAATACAGCTAGAACATGACATTCTCATTTAGTACACATTGAATACCCTAGGCTTTTTCATTGAGAAATTAAGCTTCATGAAGTCAATGAAGATGACTTCTATCTTACCTGCAAAACATAACAAAACATATATCTACCAAAGATATAAATAGAACTTTAGTGGAATCTGTGGTTTGTTTTCTGCTCCCTTTTTTGTAAAAAACCCCAAACTTCTTAAGAGATAGTGAACCTCACAGTATGTAGTTTCCTTTGTTACTTTTTTTGCATCTTGTTAATTAATTCCCCAAATAATTTCAGATTATTATATGACTAAATAAATAGAAATACCATTTTAGGGAAAAAGTATCCTTTGAAGAGAAAATATGCTAAGAGAGACAGGTGGATAATGGTGATAAATTTAATCTGTCAAATGCACACAGCTGAAAGATGAGAGAGATCTTCCATGGTTCCTTAATGGAGGGGAAGGAATCCTGTTCCCATGGACTCCTTGAGATGGCCTCAAAATGTTCCAGGGTGAAAATCTGGTATGGACAGAAGATGCAGACTCTGTGGAGAGCTTTGGGAAGGCAGGGTGCAGAGGAGGCTAGGCTGCAGGGCCCTGCGGGGACTCTGGAGAGGCCCTGGGGAGGCAGAGGAGTGATGGGGCCACCGCCCGGCACAGTGCTGCTCCCAGGCATTCGTCTTGGGTTTGGAAATATTGCTCTGACAGCTGCCTGACATGGAGAAAACTTGAAGAGATGTGCCAAATCTCCACTTACATCCAGACAAAAGACCTCAGGGAAGGAGAAGGTTGTTTCCTTTGTCCTTATGTCCCCACATGAATCAATGCTTTCATTATTCCCCAGATCCTGGGTTTTTCATAGAATAGGTGTGCTTCACAGTACATTGAAAACTTAAAATCAGGTGTTTTATCTCGATTGCTGTGTTAGGGAGAAAATCAAGTGCTTAAACAGAAGAACCTAAACATATTATTGAGTTCCCATTTAAGAAACTTCAGCCTGATCCCTTTTGCAGTGCTTTGAAGTGCATGTTGAAGTTTGAATTCTATTAACTTGACTGCAGTTTGACTCCTCTTGATGTTTCATATAGCTGCTTTTTTCCTTACCTGTCCTTACTGTCAGCAGAGGAAGAAGATTTTTAGAAACAGAGACGTAGAAGTCAAATTTTAATTAGCTTGCATGATAATAGGAAAGCAGCAGAAGTATGACCCTAATCGGCAATAAATCAAATATAACTAGGAACTAATTTTTATTTATAGCTTTACATTGTTTTTCATAGTTTGTCCATTTTATTTTTTTGATTATTATTCCCATAAATTTGAAATACTCTTCTTGGAAACTGGATTATAAGGAATTTTTCAATACTTTCCTGTACATTCACACATGTATTCCAATTATTAGATTTAACAAAAAGGTGCTAGGGAAGGAATAAATAAGTATGGATATATACCAACATACTACATGCACATATCAGCAGAAAAAACCAAAATCCCAGAATTCTCAGCAATTATTTCCTGAAAATAGACAGGGACCTAACACAATGACCAGCAGCTCCAAAGAGCACAGGAACTGCTGATGGGTGAAATATTCAGCTTTTTAGCGTACATAAGGGTACAGTAGTGCAATGCAACTTGTACAGGGCTGCTGACAAGGGGACCATCTCCAGACAGGAAAGACACATCCTGCGGATAAAAATATGCAGCTTCTTTGGGATATCAGCTATGTGATTTCCACTACAGCAGAAAAATTAAGGTGGATTTGCAACTCAAATTGGCCTTTAGTGAACTCAAAACTTCAACCTGACTTTTAATCTATTGTGTTGTGTAGGTGTTTGCACACAGACGTGCCATTGCATAGCTGCTTGCTTTGTAACAGCGGGAAATGAGCCTGGGCCTCTGGAGGGACTCTAAATGACATCAGAACTGTCTTATGCACAGAATCATAGATCCCACATTACCCAGTCTCCATAGCAGTAAAGATTATGAAGCTTCACAAAAACTTTCTCCAAGTACTTCTTTAGGCAGTCCCTGGATCTTACCTAAATTCATGACAGGAGTAACCCAGATGATCAGAGTATGGGACAGTGCCAATTTCCAAATCAGCTCCACAGACACCAAATAATCTGAAAGTCCCTAAAGACTTCAGAGCAAGAGCAGAGACCTTGAAACTCATGGAAAGCTGGCCATTTATATAGTCATCTTTTTAATCTATATTAAGTTTCCACATGCAACTTTTGCTTCTTTTTTGAAAACTGGTAAACAAGACTGGAAAAACAAATTGGTTTTTTTTCTGCAGGACCTGTGTGTAATGTGGACCTATAATTTTTTCTAAGCTACAAGAAGTCTCAAAGAAAAATCACAGCTCAATAACAAATTATCTTTTCAGCAATATTTTCCCAATCACAGACAATTCATAGATAATTCAGCACAACAATATCAACACAAAGCACACATAACAGCAGAGTACATCTTTGGAGAGATTAAAACACCCCATATTTCACTGAGAATATGATTAAAATATTGAAATTTTACAGTTAGTGTATCATATCTGTGCATAGTACCCTAATAGGTTAGGAAAGTCGGTTAATATTTGATTTTTTACATGATACTCCTTCATACTTTATCAACATTACTTTGTTACAATGACTGAGTCCCAAACAGCTTCTATGTAAATTATACATGGAAGCATATGAGCTACAAGAATTTTGTTTACCTAGGATTTTCTAATGGTTTATATCCTTCAGTGTAACTTTGCACTCCTTTCTCTTCATGAGAAAAACTCCTCTGACATTACTTTATGTATTGACTTTATGTCTCTTAACTCCCTATACCACTTGCACGTATTTTTTCTGATTCCTGTAGTTTCTGATATCTTCTTTTTCTCTAAGCTTATCACCCATTTATCACTGTATGAAGTCTTATGACAGTAATTAAAGAGATATCAGTATGTTATTTATATAGTTCCTATGACAGTGCATATATAAGTCTATCCTCTACCTTCCTTCTCTTATATTACCGTGTCTATGTTGATAATAGAATTAAAGACAATGGGGGGAAATGAGAATTCGTTTGTATTCATTCCTGAAAATTACCCTTGCTTTTGTTTTCAAATCAACCTATACTTATACAGTATCTGCAGCTTTCCAGTACAAATTTGTTTCCTTACCATTGCCATCTGGTTTGGAGGAAATTCTGCTTCTTGTCCCTCAGTTTTCCTGTGCACTCTGTCACAACCAGGTAATTATGGTAAGGGCTTTAGACCAGCATCAGAACAACTTCACATAACATCATTTCCCACTCTGTTCTGAGGAGTTTCCTGTTCTCTCTGAGATAACTCTGTTCTTTTATGACAATATCTTTACACAAGCAC